GGAATGAAGTCTTCTTTATATAACACCAGTTTAAAGTAAAGACCCTACAGTGTCAGAGTAAAAAACCCCGACAATCAGACGATTAGCTTTGAGCAGCACTTGGTGACAGCAGGAAGGAAGAACTCTCCTTTAACAGGAAGAAACCTCCAGGAGGACCAGGCTCAGGGAGAGGCAGCTGTCTACCTTGTCTGAAAGTCTACATTTGGATCTCAGAGAGTAACTTCTCTCCTCTCTCTAATCACCAACAGTGTCTTTCCACGAGAACTCAAAGAGGTTTTTGCATCGTGGCGGCAGGAATGCAGCAACCGAGGTCGACCGGACATCAGCGAGCGTTTGATCAGCGCTTCCTTGTTCCTGCGGTTTCTCTGTCCGGCCATTATGTCCCCCTCGCTTTTCAATTTGATGCAAGAGTATCCCGACGATCGCACGGCACGCACGCTCACGCTCATTGCTAAAGTCACGCAAAACCTGGCAAACTTCACCAAGTAAGTTTCTGCTTTTGTTGTGTGTTTTGAAAACACCTTCTATTGTTAGAGTAGAATTGTGGACTTAAAACTCTGCTACGTTGTTTTTCCCCCGTTTCTCTTTCCTGCCCCTGTTCCTAACAGATTTGGTAACAAGGAAGAATACATGTCCTTCATGAACCAGTTCCTGGAGCACGAGTGGACCAACATGCAGCGCTTTCTGCTAGAAATCTCAAACCCAGAGACAATCTCCAACACAGCGGGCTTTGAGGGCTACATTGATCTCGGCAGGGAGCTCTCTACATTGCACTCCCTTCTTTCAGAGGTGGTCTCCCAGATGGACCAGGTACTTAAAAATATGTTGGTCATTAGCTGTCCATCAAGATCTGTGTGTGGTCAGCCGTCTGCGCAAGAGAGACAAAGAAGAGAGTGCAGGCAGGGTGGCGTGAGCAAAGATGGGTGTCAGGGGTGATTTGTGACAGAAGCATAGCCGTGAAAGGGAAGGTTTTCAAGACAGTTGTGAGACCTGCTGTGATTTACGGTTTGGAGGCAATGGCGTTGACAAAAACACAGGCGGTGGAGCTGGAGGTGTTAAGACTTTCATTAGTAGTGGCCAGGATGGACATGATTAGAAACTGGACAAAGGACGTTGAACATGGAGCTGCCAGGGAGGAGGAAAACGGGAAGGACACAGACGGAAGAAGTGAAGGAGGACATGCAGATGGTCGGTGTAACAGAAGAGGATAGGGTGAGGTGATCTGCCTAAAGGGGAGCAAACGCAGCTGATGTGCCGCTGCCCCTTTCAGGAAGAGCTCCGTGAGTGACAGGGAGAAGCGCTAATGGGAGCAGCGCAGCATATTGAGTTGAGTTGGGGATGGCAGCTGATCAGACATGAATGAAACATTCTGTCACTTTGAAATTTCTTCCTGAGTGATGACTCTCCGATGTAAACATAAATCACAGCACGGCCATTGATTTAAACTTAAAATCAGGACTTTACCACAGCTGAGCAGGCGGCCTGAAAAATGGCTCGTGACGACAGGTTAACGCGCAGTTAATGGGCCACATTAGAGTCAATATTTCATAGTCCTTCTGTTGACTGACATGGAAAAATGTGTACATAAAAGCAGATTTATTGGAAATTTGGCTGTATTGAAAGACCAGCATATGTGAGCACAGAGAGAGGGAAGCAGATATAAAGCAGACGA